CCCCGGGGCCCACTGTGCCCACAGCTGCGCGCTCCAGCTCCCCGTCCCGGCCACTCCCCGGGGCCCACTGTGCCCACAGCAGCACGCTCCAGCTCCCCGTCCCGGCCGCGCCCCGGGGCCCACTGTGCCCACAGCGGCGCACTCCACACACAGGTTTCCCACCCACACTGATACCTTAAATCACAAAGAGCATCAGACCCGAGTCCTCCACATGGGGGAACCCAGAAGATCCCCGCTTCTTCCCGAGGCGCCAGTGGATGTGGGGTCCTGCGGGTGGAGGGGAGCAGGTCCAGAGGACCTCGTGGCTGAGGCCTCGCAGCAGGAGGACCTCAGCTGCGGCGGCTCCGGGGGTCGCGCTTTTGGAGCGCAGAGGATGATGGGAGGGACCCCACGCAGCTTGAGGCAGGAGGCCTGCGGGTCGGGCCGTAAGGTGCCGGCCTTCCCGGTAATGACAATTGCAAGCTGCTTCTGTGGGTCTATAAACCAGGGAATACAGCTGATTTAGCTGTCTAAAAAAATGAAAAAGCCCTATGCCTGACATTTTCAACTTTATCCAGTTTAATGATTTTCAAGAAAAGGGCACCTAAATTATTGTGTATGAAATGAAAATGTTGAACTTGTTCACCTGTCAGAAATGCTCTAGTCAAAGTTGATTCAAAATTTGCTTAGAGATCTCACACTCAGCTGGATGAAAACAGGGCGAAGCACAGGGCGTTTGCCTGGCCTAACTGGGCACAGCTTGAGCAGCGTATGTAGCTGTTGCTCACGGAAGGTGCCTGTGGAAGGACCCGGCACACCCACGGGACAGACCAGCCGGCCCCTTAGTGAGAGGGCCTGGCTCCCGGCAGCAGGGTGTGCATGCTGTAGCCTCAAGGGCTGGTGGAGCGGACAGCGGCATGGCCAGGCCCCTCGTGTCCCTGTCCGGAGTGCAGTGCCCAGGGACAAGTGCCCTCCACCACTGACCCGAGGCAGGAGATGGCACACGAAGCGCGGGCTGCCGGCCGGCCCCTCACCTTGGTAAGCCAGTTTGAACCCCTGCCGGTTCTGCGAGTGGTCGCTGTGGAAGCGGATGAGCGTCTCGTGCGTCGTGCTGAGCAGCGCCAGGGGCAGGTCCGTGCCGCTGAACTGCCCGATCATCGGGCTGCTGGGGTAGGGCCCGTTCTGCACTTCCAGGTAGTCGTGGTTCGCTTCGGTGGAGAAATTCAGAAACTGGATGTGGGCACCTAGGAAGGCACAGGAAAGGACTGAGAGTCTGAACGCAGCTTGGTAAAACAAACGCTTATCAAGTGATGGCAATTTTCATTATCTGTGAGCGAGAGCAGCACAATGCAGACAGAAGGTGCCTCGCAGCAGCACGGGCCTGGGCTGATGCCTCTGCTGTGGTCTTTGTCCGTAAGGGAAGACACCTGTAAAATGTGCGTGTGGCCAGCGCTGCAGCGCAGACGCACACGGGCATGACTCTCGGCATGGCGCCTAATGCTGGTGCCGCCGCCTCTAACAACTCCCGCAACCTTAAGAGCAAGCCTGGAAGTACAGGTTGTACACCACTCGCAAGGAAGTGAGGGCTTCAGCGAGGGAGAAAGCAGTACTGAAGAAAAAACAAGGTGCTTTGAAGCTGAATGGATGGTAGCCAGACATCTGCGAACTTAGTAAGTGAATCCAATCCGCGCAATTATTTTCCCAAGCAGCGCAAATGGCTAATTAAGACCCAGTCTGATCCACACCACAATAGCTCTCAAAATTCAGCCCAACAGCCGTGTGCCCTTCGGGTGCCCCAGTGATGCTCCATCTGCAGTTACATTGAATTGGGCACCAAACAAGCTATGGCAAGAACTGTGAAGTCAGCGCCAGGGTCCCTTAGGTGTGCCGTCTCTGTGTCACAGCTTTTGGAGATGTAACTGCTGTGTGTGAACTATTTCAATTTGTTCAAAAAGTTTGCATAGAGGTAATCCAAATATATTAGTCTTTGAAGAAATCTATATAATTAAGGTATTAACTTGGTCATAAACTGATACTAATAGGGAATATGACAAACGCTTTGCTGTATCATTTCTATTTTTTATGAAATATATCATGTGTCTTAAATTGAGGGACACTAAAAATGCTCACAGGGTCATGCTGTCTACAGGTTGGAGCAGTGTGATTTTGAGTACAACTGTCCCTCATGCAACGAAGGAAGAGAGGGCTCACCGGAAACCGTAAGCCAGTGAAAGAGGAAGAGAAAAACCGGGAAATTTTCAGTGAAATCTGGACTATAAAAGAAGCACAATTTCATTACTGGAGGAGCAAACGTTCTCACGAAAGAGGGAGGAATGAACACTGAAGTAGCAGGCTTCACGGGTGGGCCGTGCTCTGCCAGGCGGCCTGCTCAGGTACACGTTGCTGGTTTCTGTGTGGAAACCCCGCACTTGGAGGCAGCTGTGGGCGTCACCACAGTGGGGACAGGAAAGCCAAGGGAGCCAAGCTGCTGCGCCCCCCGCGGCCCAGCACAGCGGCAGAGCAAGGCGCGCGCCGCCTCAGCGCACAGAGGTCCTCGTTTTTCTAAAGGTTTAGCACGAAATCAGGCTGGCTAAGAACCAATGATCTGAGGAGACTAAAACAGGCCCACTTCCTCTGAGAGCACCACTGTGTCATTCGGTCCCTGCTAGAGCTGAAGGAAGAACAAAAGAAAGTAGAGAACTTCTGAAGGAGGCTGAAAAGAAAGACATGCCTCTGAAGTGTCAACCACGGTCTGTGACAATTTCTCGAACATGGGCTGGGATTCAGGCCGGGCAGTGCAGTCTGGGAGCGCTCCACTCAGGACGGAGGCGGCCACCCCGCCACTCCAACATCACTGGCCGCACTGAGGCACAGCGACTCTCAGCACCCCTGCAAGTGGGCGGAACTGCTGCAGACTGCTCTTTGCTGAACACCCGGAATGTACGTGATCCATTTGCTTGTTCTAAATTCTGCAGACAGTTTTTGTCCAAAGAAACTCAGAGGTGGCGATATGAGAAAAGAAGAAGAGGCCAGAGGCTGGCAGCACCAGGCCGCGCTGGGGCTGGGGGCAAGCTGTCCTCGCCCAGCTGCAGAGTCTAGCCTTGGGGTGCACATCGTTGTCCGGCCGCCCTCACCCAGCGCTGCCCTGGAAGCAGCCTTTGTTGGAGCCGGACCCTAAGCCAAGCAGGAAGGAGGGCTGTACTGCTGAGTAAGGGGTGCACAGAGGGCTCTCGCTTCCCGTGAGCACAGCTGGACCTTGAAGACTGTATCCAGACACAGGGCAGGACGCATGAATGACTCGGGTGAGAGACAAGCTCAGTCCAGGGCTGCCAGTGCCCAAGGTGGGCGACGCATCGAGGACACAAGCCAGGGCGAAGGCCTCCCTCTGTCCATTGGGAATTCAACTTGAAATGGAAATGGACTCATGACAATTATAATATCATGAACACAATTACCATTTTAAGCAGGATAAAAGATCCAGGCACATATCAAAGGCCTAAGTGCCTATCAAGAAATAGAACCAAGTCCATCTCTAATCTGGCTTAGAGCAGAATTCTTAGCTATCTAACGTTCAGCAAATTGTGTCCAGTTTGACATCCTACAGCCTGATTGATGGGATTAAAATAAGTGTGACCCAGTTATCCTTTGTTACCATGCAGAATATTTGAAGACTGTATTATAACAAGGAAGCCAATCTAAATGGCTCTCTCTGATGAAAGGCACACAGCGCATTCCCATTGGGTTGGAGTTAACACAGAGAATACAATCCTGCGGATGGTGGC